CGTATTTGGTATTTTCATATTTCTTTATTTTGTTTTCGGAGGACATTCCATTGCATCAACCCCTCGCGAGAGGGGGGGGAGAGTCCGTTCAACCCGTTAATACAGGGGAGTATGTATGTGTTTTTCCGGAATGTTTACCATTCTTCCACCATTAGTCCACCCCAGTGACCACCGGGGGGGGGGGGGGGGGTATTCATATTCGTGCATCCGGTAGTCGTTAGACCATGGCCCTCGCATCCTTACAAAGCCGGGAGGGAGCACCCCGGTTTTTCCCCGGATTAGGTTCTCACATCACCAAGCGGGAAGCTTCGTGAGGTATTCGGTGATTCGCATGAGCGCTCCCCCCTGTAAAGGGTTTTGGGCTTTTTGTGTTTACTCCCTGGGGTAGGGATGACAGCGGGGTAGGATAAAATTTTTTTTCGGGGGGTTTCCCCTCCAAAGACATTTATAAACCACTGTGTAACTCCTTGGGGGGGGCTTGCCCAATTCAACACAACGGGGGGGGTTCTTCCCTTTTGCGGGGAGGGGGGTTTTTCCCCCCCCCACAACATAATAAACTGGCCCCCCATTCAGGGTTCCCCCCCAAAAAAAAAACAGGGGAAAAAAAAAAGGGGTACCCTGGTTCCCGAGCCCAGAAAGTGTTGGGCTTTTTTTAAAACATCGCTCCCAAGGGAGAAAACCCCACCCCGGAGGCCAAACTTGGGGGGGGGGGGGGGGCGTACTCTTATGTTTTGCATGCCTTACTTAGTGGTTAGACCATTGACTCACGCGTCCTCGAGAGGACGGAGCATTGTTCCCACAGGACCGATCACCGATGGCCAATCGTTCCTTCCTACTTTGCCAAAGGTGGCTCAAAAATGTCTCCCCTAGTCTGTCTATCCTAACGATATCCCTTGCCTTTTCAAACCACTTCCTACTCCCCAGTACAGCTACCGTCCTCTCCTCTCTATTCCATGCCTCAAACACTCCCTGTACGTCCCTTATATTTTTTCCAGCTCAGTCATGTACACTTCCCTCTCCTCTTCGTACCACGGACATTCCGCGACTACGTGAACACGGTCTTCGCATTCGAAGCCGCAATCACACTTGAACTTGTCGTCTTCGGGGGGGGGGGGGGGGGGGAAAAAAAAAAAAAAACACGCGGCCCCCAAAAAAAAAAAAGCCAATTTGTCCAACAAGGGGGGGGGGGGA